GCTGGCGTAAATATTAGATATTAATTTTTAAGTTATTGCATAGCTTTTATCGGGGGCTTTGAGCGCGGCGATCGAATCAAGAAATTCCGCGAAAATAAACTATTGTCTGCATTGTCTAACGTCTTTGCAATTCGGCAGACTTCGGCACATAATCTCTTTTAGACACAATTTCGGAAAAATTGAATTTGAAAATGAATAATGATCCACAAGAATCCACAACAAAATATGCAACCACCATTAACGCGGTATTTTCCAGATATTTAGAGGATATCAAGTCTCAAACTTATGTTTCTTATTTCAGTTACCATAAACCTATAGTTTCAATGATAAAAATTCCTGAATAACCTACATGTATTGTAAGATAATAAAAATATTTGAAACAATATTAACCTCTCATTTATTCAATAAAAGAAAAAAAGTGTTTTCTTATCGGTCACCACGCTCAAAAAGTGTAACTTGAATTAATATCAAAGAAAAAACTTGAATTAATATAAAAAAAAATACTGAATAAATAAAATAAATAAATAATTATAATTGCATAAGTTGATAAAAAATGCTATGCAATAGCTTTACCGCGGCAGTTCTTTTTTTTCTTCTATAAATATGGAAGAGCACCAATATTGCAATGCAAATCAGAAAACGAAATATTAAAGCGTCACGAAAACATCCTGCTAATATTCTTTTTGGAGGCGTTATAACATGCTAGTTACAATATCTATCAAGAGTCGCGTTGAATCCTTAGAAAGTCGAAAATGCTTGATAAATAACACATCATCGTTAATTCCAAAGGGATTTGTATAAATTAACTTCTTCCTTCTATGCTGTCACTCTTTAACAATGTTTTCAACAGCCACCAAATGTTAATTTCATCAAAATCTGCCTCATCCATGTTTACGGTCCACAAAAGTCGCATACGAATTTAAATTCTAGCACTTTAGACCACTCGTGTTGAATTCACCTGCCATTTGTCGTATACTGTTTTCGAGAATACACTTTTTTAAAATCACCTAAAGTCTATTCAAATTTAATTTACGGTGGACGCTAAAATTGAGCAGGGCCGTATTTTACTTTTCCGTCTTTCAAAAATGTAAAATAAAAGAGTGTAATTGTGAATTTTCTTTTTATTACGATAAAAACATATTTTGTAAACCAAAACTATAAAATAAATGCCATACACGGTCTCCCAGACTTTAGTGACATTTCTGGACGAAGATAGGTGAGCGACATAAACTGCGTTAACCTGCAATACAAATTAATAAATGTATTTGACTTTAAGGTAGACTCGCGACAGTCGTACATAAAAATATCGCTTAATGGTGAATACCAATAGTTCGAGATTCTCAATGCTAATCAATTTTATTTTTGTAAGAGACTGTACAAAACACATGTAAGCTTATATCATCTTATATATATGGATTTTAATAAAATTCATCCGGCAACCTCATAAATACATGAATGGTTTGCTATAGAAATTTGTGACTTCCTCATATTAATTTTAAGGGTTTGTTTTGGTTCAAACAGAACCGCTGATTCCAGTTCTCAAATACAGTGGACGAATTAATTTTCCAAGGAAACGTCGCGAGGTTATAACATCCTCTTAGCTGATCGAGTGTTAGTTTGGTACAACGCGTTGATTGCAGCGTATACAACGTTGCCAAGTTGTAATAATTTTACGCAACTACGCGTCGATTGCTTTAAAAATATTTTTATTTTAAAAATCTATATCTTTTTACTAAGAAGGTTAAAAAATTCAGCGTTTCTTTAGAAAATTTTATAACTTCTTGATTTACATTACATTAGTTTTTAAAAAATATGGTAAGAACAGTTTTCGAGATATCTGGAAATAAATGCATTACTTGTGTACATGAGAGGCTTCAAGAGTGTTAATTATGTACATTTTGATTGTTAATATTCGTTTCACAGATGGTCAAAAAATTTAATTTTTTTTTATTTACATAAAAGACACTTTCATTAACCTTATATTTCAATTTTATTGAATTCTTAAGAAAAGCCGTTTTACGAGTGAACTACCTTAAAAGAGATGTTTGCATTATATTTAGTTCATTATATATGTCTACTGTGATACAGAGCATTAAAACAATCATATTATAAAATTATATTATACAGGGTGTCCAAATAATTGCAAATTCTTTAATAGCTAATATATATCTACTAAAAGCATTAAAAAAACTTTAAATATAAGAGGTATTTGGTATTTGAATTTGGTATTTGATTTAAAATTGTGCATTTTAAAAAGAAACCTTTTGTATTTTTGACAACTTTTGTTCTTTATTGTTCTTGTTCTACTAGTATTTAGATTAGACACCTTGTACCCTGTATTATAGCAATCTTCCTTACTTGACTTAGCACTATTCTGAATCGGATAAATTAGTTAGACATTAATCAAAATTACAAGTGGTTCTACCTGAACAACTATAATATTATCCAACTCCCACATTTTTACTTCAACTTTTTGGCGAACATGGTCGATACACTCTTTCCATTTTTCTGGAGAAATTAATAATATTACTTCTTCAAAAAGAATTTTAATGTCTCCAGATTTAAATGTTGAGTTTTTATCTGCTACGTATTGTTTAACGTCAACCTAGATTAATTCAGTATTATGTTGTTTTGCTGCTTAACCATTTCATCTATTACATACCTATCATAATGTTTATGTTGCTTACCAAGTTTTAGAAGTTGGATCTTAAGCATTTGTTAGTCGAATTCAATTTTTTTCCCTTATGGCCATTTTTAAAAATCACCTTTTTTAGACGTCGTTGTAGGTATTTTTTCCAGCTTTCTCGAATAATTCTCCACACATTTCTTCATGGTAGTCACCGGATTTTTAAACTTAAATACATAAAGTGCATTAGAGACAAAGCCTTCTTCACTTCCAATATGGCATATAATGAGCTGTTTTTACGCACATACCTGATGGGTTTTTAAAACCAGTTAAAAGTTCATCCAAAAAGACTTGTCTGGATGATAAAACCGACATATCGAAACATACTTTTGATTTGGTGTGGCCTGCGTTAATTCAAGTCTCATCAAGATAATATATTTTTTGCTTTTCTTCTCTGTACCGTTTTATTTTTGTGGCGTAGGACGAAACAATTTCATTTTGTCTAAAAGCAAACTATTTTTTCCTCGAGTTTTAAATTTAAAATTAAGGGTTTTGAAAAGCTTGTAAAATGTAGCTCGCTTAAAAGTAGACAAATATGGATCATCATTGACTTCTTATAAAACCTTATCGATTGTTGGAAGTTAATTTCTAAAGAAGAATTGATGTACTTTGCGCCTTATTGCATTTATATCAAATTCATCCATAGAGCCACTAATTTGTTTATAACGTAGCTTTCTTTTTGGTTCAGAAAATTTATGAATCTGCCTATACTCCTTCATAACATTAAAAACGGTTTTAGCGCACATCCCTGTTTTATCAGCAACTCTCCTTTTAACATCATGTACCAACATATCAGGGTTCTATAAAATTTAATGCGTATAAATATTAAGAACCATTTCTTTAGTACGGATGACCAAATGTCCCTTTTTCGGTCGCTTTTTAGAGTAAAAACATTTTTCTGGACTTCATCTGCTGTATCTGTGGAGGACATAGTGTCACGCAGCAGTTACAAAATATAGTCAATTAAATGTCCATAAAATAGAGTAAAAAATTTTCAAATTAACAACAACCACAAAAACAAAAAAAAAATAAATAACACAATATATGTATATCTAAACTATAATATAATGAATTATAATCAATCAAACATACAAAATGTCCAAACTAACCAACACGGTGAATGCTACCAAAACGCCGTTTATAATTATCCAAATTGAACTGAATTCGACTCTGACAAAAAAATATTTGTCTAAATGACTAATGACCGATTAACCAATAGAAGCGCAAAAAAAAATGCCACGTGAGCTGTTGCTGGATGGGAGAGATTGTTTTGACACGGCGTAAATGAAATCTGAATAGACTTTAGTTGTTATTCGACATTTCACTAATCTCGCATGCGAATCGAGGTATTCGACATTCGAGAATACTACCCCAGGTACTCATATCGGTAAATATTTAATCAAGTCTTCATGATATAGGTACATACCTAACATAGACCCAACTATTTAGTTTCTCGAATTAATTTAGTCAGGTGCAATATTTATTTTTATATCGTCTTTAAAAAAAAACTACAATGTAAGTTTAGCTTCCATTTTTTTGTAAATGCATGCGACATCATCATTCGAGTTAAATCGTTACCGCTGACACTGACACTGTTCATCAGTACCTCCAGCTATTATAGATATGATATATTTTTGTAACTTCAAATTCATTAGGGACAACGTACAAAATAAAACAATTATTCATATAAAATTGTACTAGGGTCAAGAAATTTTTGTTCGACTAAAATATATAATAAAATTCTCATACTTGTGAAATACTTTCTGGTACAATGTACAACGATTTTTCTTGGCTGGAAACTGCAATCTAAGATCTGTTTAAAGTTAGGTAGTTTATATTGTCATAAGAGCCTATTTCTTGATGGAACTCAGTCATCGCTTAATTTTGATGGTTTTCTTATGAAAGAGTCCGGATGGCATTGTTACCATTTACGCAGTTTTTTGTTTTAGGGTTGGGTATAAAACACATGACTATTTTGTAGAAACTGGAACAAAATAAAATATAAACATAACTTCAAATATAAACATCTTGTACGACACTATACGAATTCGGAATAACAAGATTTTTAAAATTTGCAAAAATATACAGGGTGTCCCCTTTAAATTAAAAAAGTTAATGGTATTTCCGGTGAAACCGAAAGTACAGTAGTAACAACAAATATGGCATCAGATGCGTTATGCGTCATTGTACTTGTCTGCAAAGTTTCATAAATATCGTCCTTTTCGTTTTAAAGATATTTACTTGGTTCCATACTTTATCCCAACCCTTATATTTGTTAGAATTTTTCTTGGTTTAATAATTTATTTCTTTTAAGGTCGTGGAGAACAGGGAAAACCTGAATACCTCAGTGATAAAGAAAACCAAGAGTATGATGCATTGTACAAAGTTAATGGATTTAATGCTGCCCTTAGTGATAAAATTGCAATAGACAGAGCAGTACCTGACATAAGGCATAAAGGGTAAGAACATTGTAATTTATGTCATGATTTTATCAGTTGTTCAACTTTATTTATAAGGAACCTGCAAATCATTCCGTAAAATTAATAAACAGTATTTAAAAAAAAAATGTTATTCACTGGATATTAAAAAAAAATCCTAGAAATTAACGATTATCGGCTATTAAAATAGTTATTTTTGTATTAAGTGCGCGAAATCAGTATTTTTGTCAAATTATTGTCAATTCATTCGAATGCGTCTGGTTTCGTCACGAAATACAAACAATATTTGAATAATGCCATTAAGCAAAAAGTTGCATTTCGATTTAGTGCAGTAAATTTCATATAAAATTTCGGATCGACATTACTTCGACTTTGATTACTATTAAACTTCATAATTTTTATATGTAGTCGTTTTGAAGTATGAACTAATCAAAAATTACTTCAGCTTTACCGATGTCCGATTTAACGACTCATTTAAAATGGATTTCGAACTTGAAAGTGATAGTGATATTCAAATAGGTTACCTGCGAAGTCCAAACTATTGTACGAGAAAATATAAAATCGTTGATCTTAAGTCCCCGTTAAAAAGTTTTCTTCAGCAGTAATGTTATGTGAGCCATTTCATTATTCAGTCATGCTCTAACCCTACAAGTCCCTCTCTGTCTTATTTGGCCTTTGAGGCTCAACTTGTCCGATAATTATACATAATTAAACCCCTTAAGACCAAACCTATGGGACGACTATGGCGGAGGTGATTTCGATGACTATTCGAGAAAGGACGAAATACTATTTCTGGTCTGTTCCAAATATTTCTAGTTTGGTGGAGAAGCTTCTAGACTCCACCAAACTTTAGAAATTTGTATATAAATATTGGTGGAAGAACATAGTACAATCAGTTATTATATGGACAGTGAAGATAAATAGTAATTAGTAGATAGTCAGTGGTGAATATAAATAGTGAACGATTCAAAGACATTCGAAATATATATAAATTAGAATAGTAGTGTTGTAAAATAAATAAGTGTTTAAATAAATTATTAATAAATAAACTGTTGTTTTAAAGTAAATAAACGTCACAGTAAACATTTTTATTTACAACTATCATTATATGGATGTATTATATGCGTATCTAAAGCAAAGTAATACAATCCTTATTTCACTAGAAATAATATATTTATATTACACGGTTTTGTCTATTATGCCCGACTAGAATTAAAAATCATAATGGTGCGTATAAATATAACAAACGAACCTACTTCGATCCTATTTGGCCCGTTGCGCTTTGCGGTAAATATACCAAACCATACAAATCTGATGAAACTGGGTCCGGCCAGGACCCGGCATTTATGGTGGTAAACCTGCTATCTCCTTATCTTTCGATATTATACGGCAATATTGGCTTTCTAGTTAGTTTTTGTGTGAGTTTACTTGTGATTGTCTTCCCTGGGAAAAACTGTAATTGCTATTTTACGAGGCTGCACGGTGAAATCCATTGCCAGAAAGGAGATCGTAGCAGGCATCGATCTCCGCAATGGCAAGTGCCGTCAGCGTGCAGTCCCGTCGGACTAGCCCTAACAAATACTAGTCCTGTAAAATAGCCGTTAGTTCGCAGCGAGGAGGATGCTGCTGAGTCTGTCCTTGTTAATTATCTCTACTGTAGATGTCTAGTGCCTCCTATCCCCGGAATTTCCGCTATGTTGTGAGAAGATGTCTTTTTTCACGTATTGTGGAAGACAATGTATGTAGAATTTCTCGGCGGTGCACTCTATACCAGTAGGCATGGATGTTTCATGGTGCATGTTGTGACAGGCTCCTGGTTCACCTACAGCGAATCAGCGAGTCTGTGTGGCGCTATGAAGGTGATTCCCGAATAGGGGTTACTCAGGCGCCAGTTTTGGTATCGCAGTTTGCTCTGCGACCCTGTGGTACACCAGAGTGTACTCAAGGTAAACTCAGTGGAGGTAAAAATAATTCCAGGCGGTCACTGCTAGGTAGCCACTATACTAGAATAAATAAAAATAAAACACTTATCTCCTTTACACCTCGTACCCTACGGTACCCTGAAAGAGAGCGGTTAAGAACCAGCAATAAGAGAAACACAGGAATAGGTAATAAAATATATATTTACAAAAAAAATACAACAATAATTAAATATGGACGGCTCCCTGTATTCGGAAAATTTATTAAAAATACATTATTACACTTGAAAACTAATTAAATATTAACGGCTCCCTGAAGTCGAAAAATTTATTAAAAATAAATTATTACAATTGAAAACTATTTAAATATTGACGGATCCCTATATCCGGAAAATTTATGAAAAATAAATTACTGCAATTGAAAATTATTTAAATGTAGGGGAATGTTTATGGTTCATTAGTGCAGGAGGCTAAGCGGTCTGGGAATTATGAAACTCCCGGTATACGGAAAATTTATTAAAATTAAATTACTACAACTGAAAACTAATTAAATCTTAATGGATCCCTGCATCCGGAAATTTTTTTGAAAATAAATTATTATATTCAAAACTATATAAATCGGAAATTATGTACATCCGATATATGGAAGGTATGTTTTTCCAAAATCACGAAATTAAAATAAATATTCTGGTCAAAATAGTAAAACAAAAAAACGATAATTAATAATTAAAACCGATGAATTAAATTTTTTTTTTAACAAACGGCTACCAGCTCATAAAAATGAAAGAGAACGGGTAGTTACGACTCTCGCGGTATACGGAAAATTTATTAAAAATTAAAGTTGTCGGAACCCCCTCGTATCTTATCCACGAGCGATGGGAAGCGAAAATTTTCGTCGAGTGAGAAACATGGGTATTTATGCGGTGTCTTGGACGGTGGAGGCGACGATCGTAGAAAATAATATTTTGAAATTTGCCCAGAGTCGATCGAGAGCGTGTGTGAATTTAATTCTACAGAAGTCGTCTGGCTTCGTTCAATAACTAATTGTGGACGGGGAACGGATTGATTCAAATACAATTGAATGAATAAATAAAAGAAAAGAGAAACTTACATGAAAAATACTTGATGCTTCTAATAAAAAAAAATGGCCAACGGTTTCCCACTAAGGGATGAAATGAAAAATGCTGGACATGAATCAAAATTATTTCACTCGTCGGACGGGTGTCCCAAACTAATTGTAAATCAAAAAAATAATAGGCGGTTTCCTACCTTTAGAAAAATAAACGGGGTTGTTCAATATTCTTCTTCACTCGACACTGCAGGAGGGAGAAGAGTTTACGGCTGCCGGAATTCAAGAGAGGGTAATTACCAGATGTGATCGAATTTATGCTTTTTCGCTGGGCATGATGGAAGACCGGTAAGCCCGAGTGGGGATACCACCACTACAACTGACTGTTTATAATTTAAAAATAAAAAAAATATCCTTCTAGTACCTTGACAAATAAAAGTAGATAATCGGTACGAAATCGACTTTACAAAATGCCCATTCGGATTTCGGCAAATATAGGAATATTTTAACCTACGAGGGTACTCGCAATTGTTGAAAAACTGTAATTTCTGGGAAACATGTAGAAATCTTCTACATGTCTTCAGGCGGGAATTAATTAAAATAAACATTTTTTAAATTAATTGAGAGCAAAATTTAGTGACTTCGTCACAATGTCAACAATTCTGGCGCAGCCTATGTAGCATAGGGTAGAGAATGCGCATCATAGCCTTAACTTTGATAGCTCGTTCCTCAATGTGTTTTTTGAAAGATAGCCCTTTATCTAGAATGACTCCGAGGTATTTAATATGAGTAACCGTGGGAATTACTTTATGTTGCACTCTAAGGTTTGTAATTATTTTGTTTGAGATCATTTTAGTGAGTAGAACGGCCTCAAGTTCTCCGACGGTTGATTTTTATTTTGTTTTTATCGAAAAAGGGGACTAACGTTATATTGGCGTTTTCTGCTGAATTGGATGATTTGTTGGCACAAGTGTCGTCAGCGTTTAGCGCCGTCTGTACACCATTATCACCCATGGGTATGTCATGGGTCATGATGATATACAGGTAGGGCGAGAGTACCGAACCCTGAGGTACTCTTGCTTTTACGATGTATAGTCCGGTGGTGGTATCGTTGATTTTAATGTGATATGTTCTGTTGTGCAAGTTACTTTGAATTGTTTTCACAATGAAGACGGAGTAGTCATTCACAAACATTTTGTAGATTAAACCGTCTGTCCAAACCGTGTCGAAAGTTTTAGCTGCGTCCAGTGCAACCAGCACAGTCTGTTGTTTGTTGTTGAATGCCTTTTTGGCATGGTTGGCTATTCTAACCATTTGTGCGACTGTTCTGTGTCCAGCCCTAAACCCGTATTGCTCTGACGGTATAGATTGTCAGTTTCGTGTGTGTGAAGTCTTTTAAGTATAAGTCTGTGAATTACCTTGGCAATGCCGTTATATAAGGAGATAGCTCTCAACATCCCTAGCATTTTTACCTCGTTTTAAAATGGGAATTACGTTTGCTGCTTTTAACCCCGCTGGGTAGAATTAAAGTTTTAAGACAGCGTTAGTGATCTAGTGCATTTGTACGTATGCTTTTTTGAGAAATTTTTAATTAAATTATTGCTGATACAATCCGGTCCCGGAGCCCTCCTGTTGTGAAATCTGTTGACCACACCCCTGATTTCTTGAGGAGAAGTGAGGAGATTTGACGATACTGAATCCCGATTTATGTTTTGAATGTCAATTACCGTATTTTTTGATTTGTTGTTCATGATTATTGGCTATATTGTCGAATATTTTTTGAAAGAGTTCGCCGAACGCTTCACCCTTTTGTTTGTCAGTAGATCACACTTTGTCGTGGTATTTCAGAGTGGGAAAACTTAATGAAGCTTTTCGCAATTTTCCACACTGAATTGTCCCGGGGATTCACCGCTTTCAGGGTTTTTCTCCATTTTAGGTTCCGATGTTCGATAATGTGTTGATTAATATGTTTTCCTATATCGAGGGGTCTTATCCTGTCAGCGGCTTGTCTATGTTGTTAGTGATCAGGTCAAGAATGTTTTGGGGTAGTTTGTCATGGTATAATCCCTGTGTTTCGGTTTTAGTGGAGACGTCTCTGGCCTTAATAATTCCCGTTGTTAGGTAGTTAATTTCGTGTTCTAGTGTACTGTTGTCTGTGATTTTATTATTGATCTGTATGTTATTGTCAAGGGTTAGTCTGTACAGTCTTCAGTTGGTGTTTTTGTAGTCTATGTATTTGCTCTGCGATCTTACAATAATATGGTTTGTTTTTAGCTCAAAATACACGGGATCGTGGTCATATGTCAGTGTTTTGATTGTCGTAAAGTTTTGTATGTTAGGTAAGTTTTTGGCGACCGCTATGTCGAGTGTACTTGGTGTCGAAACGTTGAACGGAAAGTGAAGTGTGTAGGTTCTTCAGTGTAGTGAATTATGTAGTCATGCGGTACGGTGTTGTTAGAATCCCAATTTGGATGTTTGGCGTTGAGATCCCCCATCAGAAGGACTCTATTACCGGTTGCCATTACCGAATGTAACTCTAAAGTTTGTTAAATTATTTTTTGGATGATTGTATACTCCTACAAAATGAATATTTTGAATTTTAATTATTAGGTGTTCAAAGGTTAAATCAAGGTTGTGGCTATTGCTCGAATTTGAGTGAGCTTTTGACTATAAAAGCTCTCTCCCCACCTTTCGCGGTCTGTTTGTCTAGTCGAATCACGTAGTAGTCTTTAATTTTTAATTTGTGGGCGGGTTTAGGAAATGTTTCTGTGATTAGGATAATGTCAAACATGTTTGCGAATAAAACTGCTTACTAAAGGTTTCTTATTAAGCATCCCGTTCGCATTGTAAAAACAAAATAGTCAAGTTTGCTGCCTTCTAGTTCAATTCCTGAAATTATAATTGTCTAAGTCTGTTACAAAATCGTAATAAACGTTAAAAAATTCCGCGTTAGTCTGGCAATCTTTCAGATTGTTATTTAGTTCACGAACGGCTCTAATTAACTCGCCAGTATTTACCAATTTGCCGAGATTCTGAAATTCGGTATTGAGAGCTAGAACATCATTAATTTGAGATGGTCGATTTGTTGCTGCCTCATTTGGGGGTGGGTGGTTGCCTCTAGAGGTGCTTGAAGCTCAGGACCATAATTGACGTTGTTGGTGTTTGGTAGGACAGGAAATTCTCCTTTTTAGAGGTGGTCTGGGTCTCCAGCAGTCCCAAACGTTTGTGGTGGGGGCCGGTGGTATGAACTTCTTTGTGGGGCTTTGTTTCTGCGTTCTTCTAGGCGATCGAGCCGTACGGTGTGGAATTTACACTTGCTATAATTGGCTGGGTGGTCTTCGCTGCAGCTTTCGCAAATTTTCCATACTTTCATTTGCATTCATATGTCTCTTTGTTGTTTTGGGCCTGTTTCGGTGTGAATATTGTTAGGATCAGGCCTAGGGTTGATGGGGTGGACATTTCCGGGTGTATTGTCTTCGTTATGCGGAGTTATTTCAGCATTTTTGATGGTAGTATCTATGCTTTCCTCTGAGCTGGAGGATTCGTTTAAATTCTGGTAAACTTCCTGTAGATGTGTTTGGAGGTCAGTTAGAGGTCGTCCCAGGGAATTTTAAATAGGGGTATTGGGCAGCTGACCCCTTTGTTAGTATTAATGGTGGTTAGACCCAAGATAGTGGCTTTACTCACGTTTAAAGTGGATTTCTTTTGGTTTTGGTCTTTAGGCTCTCTAAGAGGATGTATAATTAAGATGTTTCTTAGCGCTTCAGTGTATCTCCATCTATTTCGTTGGTATTTTGAATATACTGTGGGATTTTCCGATAGATTGGGATCGTTTGCTACGGAGGGCTCTATCATGGAGCGAGAACTCCTTGATGTTTTTAATTATACTACCTGCCTGACTCGAACGTAAAATGAATGCAAAATGATATCGGATATAGGTTATTATCCTAGTGTCTTAATTCGGTACTACGAGGAGCGTTACAAAAATCGACAAACTTCCTTTGACGAGTTCAAAGGGTAAACTGGTTCATCAGATTTGTACGGTGTCGTATATCTATCGCGCGATAGAAAGCACCCGGACCTACTTCGATCCTATTTGGCGCGATCCGTTTTAGTCCCGTTGCTTTCCATCGCGCGGTAGATATACGACACCGTACAAATCTGACGAACCTTGGTCCGTTGTTGTCTTGTAGCCGGCTCGGTCCCGGCTCGTTACATCTATATGCAGCTTTATATTTATAGGTCTAGTACGCATTTGTCAAGTTAGTTCTTGAAATCGACTATTAAAATAAACAAATTTAAGTGGCTATTGAGTGAAAAAACTTTGAACGCGTTTTTATAAAACAGCAATTTTTGAGTTACGATGTTCTTCTTTGTGATCTATTTAAAAAATAGGTTTTTTTTTTTAAATACAATGTATTATTGAATTATATTTCTGAACAATTCGAAGCATTTTTGAACGTCCACAAAGGATGCTGTTAACTTTATTATTATGCCGTGATCCACAATACATCTTTCTGAAGTAGGCCATGGATAAAGTCGCGCTTGTCAGCGCTTACATACCAGCTTTTTTAAATGACATTTTGAATTTAATTCATTGGCGTGTGCCTGTGTAGTTATCACAAGATTCGTATCTCCGTCTTTGTCGATCATGGCCTAATTTAGAAACATTTTTGTAGTTCACTCATTATGAACTATTTTTAATTAAAAAAAAACTTTGTTGCAGATGTCAAACCAAGAAGTACCTTAAAAATCTTCCTACAGTGAGCGTAATAGTTCCTTTTCACAATGAACACTGGACCACTTTATTGAGAACAGCGGCTAGTGTGGTAAATAGGTCACCACCACATCTTTTAAAAGAAGTTATTCTAGTTGATGATTTTAGTTCCAAACGTAAGTCAATTAAAAATAATAATTAAAATCTTAGCAGGTAGTTTAATCTTTTCCGTAAAATAGATAATCGGTAAATAGTTGGTTACTATTAACTATTTTAATACTATTATACTTTGAAAAAATTGAGTAAATTGAACTTAAAATACATGTTTCAAAACACTTTGTATAAAATAAACCAGTTTTATCACCACTAAACCTTAGCTTAGTATCTTATAAGTTTGTATACTAAACAAATTTCAAATAAATGTAAACCTACCTAAATTATGATAATTTATTTTGAGGACTGCATCTTTCTCTAATTTCATAAATAAATTAATTGCTTGGCAAACTTGTAATATTTTTAAGAAAAATTCTAGGATTGAATGCAGTATTATATACATTTTTATTCGCCTGACAAAAACGCAACACTTTGTATATCCAAAATATTTCTAAAATCCATATAATTTTTATTTGAAACTTGTTTACGTGTTTATAACACAAATTGAAATATTGAACAATTACGCACTAATGGGACACCCTTATATCTAAAATTCGTACAATTTTTGATTTATTTTACCTATGCCCATATTTGAGCGACTGAGATATATTTACAAGTGTTACAAGAGTTGGCACTTGTATTTAAACTACTGAAAATTTTCCATGAGTGAGAAGACTATTCTGCGCGCGAAAATACTAGTAAATGCAAAGTATGTTTTTCTTGGAATTTGAAATCCTTTATCAGAAAAACAAAAAACAAAATAATAACGATACAAGACGAAATAACTAAATGCAAAGATTTATTAAAAAAAGAAGAAAATATAAATTTGGAGTGTAACATACAATAACTCAAAGAAAATCCAGAGACGCCAGAATTACAATTACTATTAAAAACCAAAGAAATTAAATTCAACAAAGAGAAGAAACTCTTAAAGATTTATGAAGAACGCATTTTGAATAAAGAAAAGCAGTTCAATAAACAAGAGAAAATGTTCAATATGGTTGAAGAATATTCAGAAGAAATCTCTTTAAAATAGAAAATAAACAAAGAGTTTAAGAATGGGCAGATAAGATAAGTAATCAGGAGCCCGAAGAAAACTCACACAGCAAAGTAGAAGAATTAATAAAAATCAATAAATTCCCTATTACTTCGCCAAACTATTGCCAGTAAACTTACAAAATTCGATGGCTCATCATGTTTGGAATGGCCAATTTTATATTCCCAATATAAGTTATCCAATGAAACTTGTTCTTTTACACCTGCTGAAAATGTTTTGAGATTAAACGATAGTCTCAATGGAGATGCTAGAAGCACTGTTGAAATGTTATTAATATCAGCCAAGAAGCCAGACAATATCTTAGATATTCTTAACAAAAAATACGGTAGACCTGAATTAATAATACAAGAGCGTTTATCAACCGTACTCAAACTTCCAGCAGTAGAAAATTTTGAATTATTCATTCACTTTAGTAGAGTAGTGAGAAACGTAACTGCAACAATCACAGAAGGCAATATAGAATGTTATATAAAAAAAACAAGTAGTCTACGAACGTTTGTAAATAAACTTCCACCACATCTACTACCCCAATGGGGGTAGTTACTTAATAGAAAAAAATATTGCAAATTGTAAAGAGACATTAGAACAGTTTTCATTCTGAGTTCAACAAATGTCCGATACAGTTTCTAGAATAATATTTATTTCAAATGTGAATAATGAAACTTTTCTTGCATCTTCCAGTAAAATATAATAGTAACGAAAATAGATGGATTACTAATTCACAAAATCCAGGGACCAGTAAAATTTGCAAAATTTGTAAGAAAAATCAACATTCAGTAGAAAAGTGTAGCAAGAGTTTGATGTTCAATAAAGATGGAAATTCTTAAAAAATAAAAATGTGTTATTGCTGCTTAAACAAACACAATGGAAAATGCAAAAAAGAAAAATATGTGGCATTAATAATTGCGACCATTTCCATCATAATTACTGCACAAAAATATTACTCAAACGGCAAATACAAACGAATTAAATACATGCGAATTAAATACATGCGTTGAAGCAGTAGAAGATGATACACTACTGAAAGTATTACCAATAAAAATAAAAGGTCCAAATAAAGTAATCAAAATAACCGCATTACTAGATGAAGGAAGCACTTTGACATTAATTGATACGGAAGTTGCTGTAGAATTAGGTTTAAATGGCCCAATTTCACCTTTATGCTGCAAGTGAACTGGTGAAATATTCAGACATGATCGAGATTCCCAGATTGTACAGGCAGAAGTAGCAAATCGAAATTCTTCTATTTTTCATAAAATGAACTGTCAGTGAATTAAATTTACCGCAACGATGCGACTTAAAGCACATGTTATTAAGAGGAAAATTTACTTTACAAACTAAAAGACCTGCGGGGCAACGGTAGTTTAGTAGGTATAAAAATTACAACTTAAGGGTGGAGCCTAAATACTACAAAATTACTTCCGAGACCAAACAAAATCAGCATACATTCATAATTTTAACAATTGCATGTAGTTACGAGGGATGCATATTCTAAACTTTAACGCGCGAAGTTGAAGACAAAGGAACCGAAAAATATTCCACAATAGCACAAAATAATATTACCTATGTATTTTACAATATAAGTATGGTGTAGATTAAAACTTATTTTGGTTGTCGACAAATTTGGTTAAAAAATCTTCTTTTAGAAATATACCTTTCATTTGACGAAAAACGAAGGCCTAAACGAAAAAAAAATATTCTTCATAAACGTTTCGCCTGTATATTGACAAAGTAATAGTGCTTTTCTTATATTTTTTACTATGAAATTAACAAAAATATAGCAATAAACAATTACTGATGTCATGGTTTTATAGGAAAGGAAGCAGTCTCTTGACTGTATGTGTCTCTCTCAGGGATGAAATGTATGCAATCTGTTTGACTCTCTTACATTATTTTATATAGGTATTATTGATTTATCCGCTATGAAGTTGAATAATGTTTTATAGGGTGTATTACTTCATGATTTTTTTTGAGGAAAATAAAAAAATATGAACTATTTATGGAAGGTATATATAAGTATAGGTTATAAACAGTAAGGCTATTGCTTTGCAGAATACAATAAATTCCTAATAAAAAAATTCAATAATTAGAAGTATATAAAGCATAAATTAATATTATTAAAATATATAAGTACAGGACTCAAACTAATCAAAATCAGATTCACCACATTAATCTATATTTTCCAAAACATTAGCGGCTATGATCAAACTATTTCTGCAGTTTCTCTGTACCATACAAGTGCATTAACCGATGTAGCCAATATTTTTTTCTGCATTTGCAAATTTTGCTTCCATAGTCTAGAATAGAATAATATTGTTAAAATATTGTACATATATGAAAATTATCGGTGTATAGTACCTTTTTTGCATTTGCATGATAAGTTCTGTTATTTCTGGTAGCAGGTCGAGCATAATCTTAAGAGTGGGTATCAGGCTTCAATCTTGATCTACTTTCCCTTCATACTCTTCAACATTAGGAAGCTGTATCTGGGTCTTTAAAGAGCTTAGCCAAATACTTAGCTGGTAAAAATATCTTAAACAATGTGATCTTAGGGCGTCTTTAGTCAATGGAAATTTAGCAATTATTTTAAAGGGGCCATTTATCTTCTCAAAATGTTAATGGAAGTAACATTGGCAGTTTTTGAATAGTTTTATAAAAAAAAATTTAAGATTAGAGAATCTGTTTTCAGAGTACCTACGAATCAGTGCCAAATCCATCCAAAAGGTGATGGTGTTCAAGGTAGGTTTTCCAACAGGTTCTTTTTCCAATGCCAGACAATTGGTTGGATTTATTACGACCTGTCACAGAATGAAATTTTTTAGAAGTTTTTTTATCCAAATTTAAATCATGTACTTCTTCATGATTTAAATTTAAGAAATCGTCTTTTGATGGTTCAAAATTTTCATGAAGTCGCTCTGACAGAAAATGTGTTAAACGTCTTTTATTAAATATCGAATGAATGAACAAGTTTCATTATTCTGGAAGTGGAATATTGGGTCTGTCAATTTCTATATCAATTGATTTCTGGGATCATCTCTTTTGACGTGTTGTATTTTTGATAGAATTTTCTTTATAATGATTAAATACCACATCTATCCTTTGAGCATTAAATTTATTTTTAAAAATAATCTTTACAAATATATTAGCATATTCTTTAAATGATATGCAACTTTTGGACTTTCCCAAACCTTGAGCTATTGCTATCCCATCAAAAATGTAACAAGTTTTGCAAGATCACCTAGGTGCAGGTAAGTCTTTGTGGGTCATATTGCTCTAAAATATTTCCCAATAAACTCTTATTTGTAGAGGTGTTAAGATACCCATTTACTGTTAGAGACATGGGAGAGGCTGTCAGATCAAACTTAAATATTTCGGCATAATTACCTAATGCTTCTGTCCATATCCTTTGCTAATAAAATATTGTGAATATTTTGATATCATTTGTGTCTTTGCTTCTTGCAACAACAAATCCGTAATTAAAATATTTAACGAAAACTTACCCAACTTACCCAAATACATTCAGGCATTCAGCTATAACAGGATGAATGTAGATGTAATAAAAACCTAAAAAAATGTCTATATTTCTTCCCAATTTATTAGGAACTTCAATATGTAACACACTTATTAATTTTTTAGTAAAAACAGACAATATGACACTTTGTCCATTGGCACCTAACGAAAAGTTTTATAATAAAAAAATGAAAAAAATTTGAGCATATTATTAATGTGATGCATCAGCCGACACGTAGAGAGACAGAGCTATACTACGTTTTTCATTAGGGCCTTCCTTTTTGTTAAACGATAAAATTATATTTAAAAATATTAATTATATTTAAAAAAATTACTTTTTAAACAAATTTTTGAAGGGCTGAATTTTTTTTTAAATAAGTATAAAAAATTACTCCTTACAAAGATTTTATTGTGCATTGGACCAAAAAATAAATATTTTTTTTTTATTCGGCGGTA